GCAACAATGGCCCAGATCATTGTAAATCGCAGAACGCCTTCCAAGAAATTTTGTATGCACCGGTGAAATTTTTGTGCTTTTTTCGCGGTGTTGAACATGGGCACTCCGTTTGCGCTTCGCTTGTCAGCCGGTGTAGTAATAAAAAGCGAAATTCGAGTACTCGCATTGTTGGCAATTTTTCAAATGTACTTACACACATACTCAACACATAAAAGTGTCAGCAACGAAGGTGTTGCAGCTGCACTAAAAAGGTGGTTCAATAATCGCTCGTTTAACTGTCAAAAGTACACACAGGTCTTTAAATTTACAACGGTATACATTACCTAGAAAGTTTTAGCGAAGCATTTAAAGTTTTTTGTATTATCTGTTGAAAATAAATGGGTACAGAAGATGTCATCAGTCCTAGCGATGCCAAAAGTTTTTAGAAATCGTGCAACAACTTTCGAAACCCGATGTATCTTATTATATGCTTTAAGTAATGATATCAAAGTAGAACTGAGCACATATAGTACTTTTAATATGGTGCCACTCTCTCTCATAAAAGGTTGAAATTGGTCTATACCTTTCTCTAGCCACCACAAATTATACATATTAACAAAATAGAATATGAGACTTCCTGCTCTCCATGTTGGCTCTGTACTGCATTTACCGGTCCGTAACGGGGACATCTTAATGAAAGTATGTAATAATATCTGAGGCTTTTTATGCAGCTATAAATATCCGGCATTAAATCGGTTCACATCTTCTCCCAGTCCTTTAATAGTCAAATATAGGTAATGAGTGCTTGCCGATTCGGTTAACATTAAACGTGGTAAACAATAACGGAAATAAGAATAGACATTTATAGGAGTTGGTGTGTATCTAAATCTTTTCCCATACATAAGATTAGTACCTGAACTTCTTCTCCTTCATGCTTTTGTTTTTGACAAGGTAAAGACAAGAAGTATATGCATATAACATTTATAGATCTTTGAGCACAACCATAATACTTAAGAACTTCTAAAAAGAATATGTGTGTCTGTTGGACATGCATTTCTCGTCATGGCGTCATGGAAACATTAAAAAGTATTATACATTTGGACAGTAATTGACGGGAAATGAGTGTTGCAAACAACAACAAGTTATGCTACGCAAACTGCAACAAATACATACAAACATAGGTATGTGTGACAATGAAAGTGTTGACATTTATATTGACAATGGAAAAATCTAACTGAATATCTGAAAATTTGTAGATGACGATAATTGGCAGAGCAAAGAAAATGAAGTCGACAAGAATTTTAGATGTGCACATTAATATACATAGAGATTCTGAGTATTATGCGACCCCACTTTAGGATACACAATCGCATATCATCTCTTGCGTAAGGTGCGATCACTAACTGTTGTGTAGGGATGATCTCATTTAATTTATTTCAGTTAAGGAGCGGATCTGCTTCGAACACGCTATAATAATTTGTCTAGAACAAACTGAATACTTTGTATACAATGTCCTTTGGTTTATGATGTCACAGACTAATAAAGAAACAGTCATCTTAGCGAGAGCGAAAAACATGCTGTACTGAACTCAAATTTCCATGAAGGTTTTTAATAATTAATACAATTAAGGAAAGGTTAAGTTTAGGTATAACCGATCATTTTATACTCTCAGAATATCTGAGGAAATATTTTCCGCATCATTATTCGATAACATGTAAATTACTTTTACTTACTATTTAGAACTAAACTAAAGAAAATAAATTTAATGTATTGTATAAATGAGGTAATAATCGAACAAAAGCGGAAATCATTAAATGCAATTGTAATAAGATAACTCACAAATTAACTAACATATTTATCACTAAATCCACTTGAATATCGAAACTCTGTCTAATATATGGGCTAGAATTATTCTTAGTCCGATTTCACCCATTTTTGTCACCAAATTAAGGTATATTCAATATTTTGCGTTCACTTAATTATTATCATACATATTGACCTATGTATATACGGTCGAGCTTTTATCTTGTATGAAGCCTTATAAAGGGTAGAGATGTGGATTTCAAGTAGAAATAAAACGCATATAATTTAATGTTATGGCAAAGAGTTTAGCTTTTTTATTAAGAAAAGGGTTTTCCATTTCGTGTAAGTGACCAATGCGGTTGGCTCGAATAAAGTCCAGTCGAGGGGCCCATTTTCGACCACTTTTTGTAGCAATTGCGATAGTATGTTAGCAATAACGCGATGAATATTCTCTTTCAAGGAACTTCACATAACCCCACACAAAATAGTCCAGCGGTGCAAAATCTCACGATCTTGGAGGCTACGCCATAGACCCACGACTTGAAATAATGCGCGCACCAAAAGTTTCTTTCAATAACTAAATTGTTTTGTTCGTTGTATGGCATAAACACAGCAGCAATATCCTCTTTGGTGCGCATTATCCACTAGAGTAAGCGTGGTGCGAAACTGATCCATGAGTGCTCGAATTACAGACACTACAGGGTGATTATGTCGACCGAATATTGGAAGCAGCGCGCAATATGTCGCATGAACCGAACCATTACTTTACAGAGTTAAAGATGTGAAGATAATTATATGCATCTAATTTGGTTTAATCCATTCGAGCAACTGCTAAGATATGGGATATCACCCAAAAACGAGCGGTGCCTTGCCCATTTTTGTATACCAACTCTAATGTGTTTCATCCATAATAAAGCTAATGTGCTCATATAAGGGGGTTAACATATTACCACACCAAAATCTTATACATACATACAGTGTTCCCTTGAAATCTTCGTACAGCACTTAATAAAGAGATTATTGATAAAAATCAGCAACACATTGCAAATTTTTTTAATGAACATTTGTTTATGCCACATTTCAATTTATATTAATTGAAAAATAATTATAATTCATTGAATGGTTGGAAAATTATACATAAAATGTATTTCAACTCCAATAAAGTCTTCGTACATTTGTTTATGAGTAAAATAAATGAATAAATAGATCTAATTGTGTTGAATTTTAGTACTTAGTGGGGTAGCCCCTATTTTTAATGGCAACTTTAAGGCGGTCTGTCATCGATTCCAATAGCCTTTGGGTATATCAATTTTCATCCACTCCTTTTGAAGAACCTCTTTAAGGCTAGCTTTTGAGCTTATATAATGAGTCCAGATCCGTTTCTCGAGCAAGTTCCAAATATGCTCTATTGAATTTAGATCAGGACTCCCTACCACAAAGTCTTCAGCAAATGAGGGACTGGTACGCCAAGTACATCCCTGTATTAAAAGCCTTGTGTTTGGGGTCGTTGTCTTGCTGAAAATAAGATGCCTCAGACAAAAATTTTTACCCGATATTTCTATTGGCTCTCAATTGCTATACTGTGACAGAATCAGAAGTTTAAAATTGTTTATAAGAGAAGTAGGCGTGGTTGCAGATCGAATTCGCACACCGTAATATGGGGATGTCAGAATAATGTTTTAAATCTAATTTCGTTAAAATTGGCCAAGTAGCTCATAAGAACTGGATTTAACAAGGACGGACATACCTTTACCTGGATTACCCGTTTATATATATATATATATCGATTAGATGATGCAAACAACCGTTAGATGAACAAAACCATTATACGAGGGAGCAACAAGTAGAGAGTATAAAAAACACTAATACATCAACATTTCTAAAGCGGCGTCTTTTGCCGGTTCATAGCTTAACATGAAAAGTTGACCGAGTCACCTAATCCAATCGCAAATTGTTTATACAACTGTTGCCAAAGAAAAAAGACGCCGCAAATAGTCACACAAAAGATTCTTTGCCAAAAAGCAAACACACAAACACAAAATAAACAAAAAACACTAAAACAACATATTTCAATAAATTTTTTTGCCCTAATAGACAAAGCGTTAAATAATTGTCCTCGTATTTGTATTTATTTTTTGTTTTTTGTATTTCTTTCTGTTACTTCTATTATCGTATGTCGTCATTTGTAGATGTACTGGTTGCGAATCGCAAAGTGGTTGTTGATCAAATTGTCACTCAACTCATTTGTTATTACACTTACGTCCGCAAAGTTGAATGCCAAAAAGTTAACAACAAACATCGAATTATTTTTAACAGCGAACAGTGAAGCTTTGTGTATGTATATATATAAATGTGTGTGTATGTACAGAATAGAGCAGAGAAAGGCACATACCATATACGACATAAGCACATATAAAAATGAAATGAAGCACTGAAAGTTCTCGTAGTCTACAATAACACTGAGAACATTCAATGAGTAATTTGTAAGTATTTTAACGAAAAATTGATTTACTGCTTATACTTGTATGAATACACGTTTTAATATGCACTGGATGGATGGTTTTATAAGTCATATATCGGTATATATATACTAGAGTAAGATAGGTGGTGATTCCACGCATTTTTGGCAAAGGGCTTACAAATATCAAGCTTCTTTTTTCAAATTAGGTTTTTCAGTCAAGAATACTTCCAGATTTCAAAGTGGTATCATATTTGAAGTATGCGCAATCAAATTTTACCTATTCACAAATTATAAGGTCTTCATAAGGAGTGTATGCATCCAAGTTCTTGTAGTTCGTGAGATATGAGTTTTCTTTCTAAAAAGAAATATTTAAATGATCAGAACAATGAGCTGATATGATATAAAAAATTCACCTGTGAAGGGTATTTTATCGTCTATGCAGTCGTTTTTTCGTGTTTAATTATTATTTTGAGGCCTTTGGCACTATGGGAACATACATACATATACAAATATAATCTTTAAAATAAATATCATTATTTATCTCTGAGTTATTTAATTGTAGAAATAAAATTAATTATTTATTTACATTGATTGAAGGTCGTCTTCATTCATTTCATCCCAGGCAACAATCATTTGGTATAGTACAAACTAAAAATTCATTAATACAATTAAAACTGTGCGAGTAATTCAAGTTTGCAGTAGATAACTATATATGTATGTACATATGAAAATAATACACGGTCGAACACATTCTAAATCAATTTGACGTAATTTCTTTTATTATATTTTAATTAATTAATACAATTTCAATAATGAGTTCTAGAATTCAAATTATCTAACCATACTTGGAGTTGATGAAATACAGTTTATTTATTAATGTGGACAATACTCAACGACTGCAAAAGAAATTTGCTGAAACCACCTGTTTGAAATAATGATAATAAACAATCTTATAGAACTTGTGTCAAAACCATAGGAAATATATAGAAAAAATGCCTACTTATCTAAGGATTATGTGTGGTTTATCTAAATTCTTTATAAAATTTTTGCAAGTTGCGGTCACCCTTTAGATATTTTACACCACATTTTATACTGTCACAATTTTCAAAGCCCTAACCGGAAAATACTTTTAGGGGTTGGCAAAACTGTATTAGATATATGTGATATAAAACGGTTCCTAAATTTACGTATATCATATTGGATAGATTGGGAAAAGGGCAATTAAAGAATCGGAAATCATTCAAATAGGGATATGGGGCTTAAGCCAAGTTCAGACTTATTTCATTTATTTTCAGCGCTAAACCATATCATTTTTAAGAAAACTTCTCCACTTAATTTCATTATAATATCACACATAGGGTCCAATATAAATGGATAAAAGTCAAGTAAAGAACCGATATTGGATAAGGTTAGGGGATGATCTATACTGATTGCGTTTATTTTATGTATTACTCAAATATACTAGAAAATATGTTTATGAAGATAACTCACACATTGACCGATATACTTGATCTAAGGTCTGGTAGAATAACGAAAATAATTATATATAAATAAAATAAGGAAACTGGAATAACTCATGAATCGATCGGAGAAGTAACATATTGACCTGATTTTGATCATTCGTCACATAAACAGATTATTACCAGAAAAAGGTATTCCCTAAAGATTTCTCCAAATGTAGATAGATTAATATGAGGTTTTGCACCGCAACCTAGGGTCTATTGACGTCATTTTACCCATTTTTGACATGAGAGCACATTATTATAAGAAAAAGAAAACAAATTACCGATTGAAAAGTTATGGTTTAAAGTTCTGATATATGGGATGTAGGCGTGATTGCAGTCGAATTTACACTTTTTACAATGTAACATAAGAATATCAGAATAATGGATCCGATTCCGCCCATCTGCAATACCAACCTTCTAATCTTCTTTTGCGAGTAGTGCCAAGAGAAAAGCGTCTAACGAGTTCCAACTAAAGTTATTGCTTGCTCGGAGAGACACACATACAGAGATTCGAAATCGTCTCGTCATTTTGATATATATAACTCTATATATATCTCGATTAGTTCAGTTTAACTACTTATATAGCAAGTAAGGAAGCGCTAAGTTCAGATCTTGGGGCTCTTGCAACTTGCAAGGATCAAAGTCGGGGAAGTTCCTTCAGCTGCTAGCAAATCTTTATATTAATAAATCGAGTGAAACGGTTCAACTACATTGTTCGACGAAATGGTAAATGGATTACAATCAAATTTGGTATCTAAATAACTTATATTGAAAGTCAAAGACTCACTTAGTTTTATTACTATATTTTACTTCCCATCAGCGATATATACCTATATATACTAAAATAATTGAGGGCATAGAAATGAAAGGGCTGATTGCATTCACTTTTGACATTAAGAACTTATTTTCAAGCAATTTTTTAAATATATAAATATAAACATATATATGGAGTAAAGTCAGCCGGACGTTTTAAAATCCTGAACATTAGATATATGGGGCCTAAGACAAGTTTTCAGCCGATTTTATCCATTTCAAATACAAAGATACACTGTTATTGGAAAAACACGGTTTCTCAAAGCATTAAAATAACTAGCACATTGGCCGATACGTGTCAACTGGAAGTTCGAAAATCTTTATATATGGTATATGGGGGCTAAGGAAAGTATTGATTCGATTGAACTTATTTTTGCCTCAAAACAAACATTTGCACAACATCTCAATTATGTATCACACAGATTGGCCGATATTTTCGGCACAAAGTCAGCCATAGGCTCTGGGGCCACATTTCCGGTATCTGTGGGCTTGAATAGTTATGGTCTGATTTTGACATCGTTTAGACCTGAGGTGGCATACCTTAAAGGAAATATTCATGCAAATTTTTATCTCGATGTAATAAATAGTGCTTGTTTGTACACTGGAAAGTGAAAGAAAGGTTAAGAAATTTGTCCTGACCAAATTTGGTTATTATTTTATGGGCGTGGCAGTGTTCCGATTATGCCCATCCACTAACTCGTCCTTTCTTTTTTGCCAAAGAGCACGTGCATCAAATTTCATTATGATATCTTAATTTTTACTCAACTTACATCCTGATCATTTATACATATACAAATATACTTAAAACTTATCTATCTTGATTTCACTGTTAGGTGAAATAAACTATTATATTCTGCAGCAACATGTTACAAGAGTATAAAAATTACTATATTTGTAATTTACTATTTACAGTCTTCTTTGAAATTCTTTGAATTGTGCTAATACAACAAACTTAAATTAGTTATATACTTTGTGTCTGATTCAGACTAAGTATTTGTTGAATCACTTCCTGGACATTTTTCATACGATTCATGGTAAAAAATTGAAAGCCATAAATATCCAAATTACTGTTCAACAACATTTGCACAGTGTGCACCGCCTTTTCCACCGCAAACGTTTTAAACGCTTTGTGGTCGTCCTCCAATTCCTTATATTTACTCAACTGCTCTTCGGGAATCACCGCCTTCACGAAATTTATTATGAACTGCAAGATCCGCATGTTATCCGGCACAATAATGCCGACAATGATCGGCACCGTGATGCCATTATCGCGGCATTTCTGCACAAACCTTATAATAGAGTCGGGGGAGAAGCAAATTTGTGTTATGATAAAGTCGGCGCCGGCATCCACCTGTTGCATAGACAAATAAATAAATATTGTGTTTTCATTATTGAATCAACTAGGCAAATATTAAATGTTTTTATTTGCTATATGCTTAATTCAGCTAACTTGTAGGAATTTTTTCTTTTATTTACCGATTTTTCATTGTCATTTGGGGGATTTTTCTTAAACCAAATATTAATAATTGAATTATATCCGGTGTTTAAGTGCCAGTTAATGAGCTATATCAACTTGACAAGTTTTATTTTTAAATCGCTTTCTCATATAGCTTTTCGTTGTTCTACTTTTTGTGAGAGGAGCATTTAGTAGTCTCATGTATGGTAATTACAAGTTTTTCAACATTGAAATATCAAGTTTTTATGGGGAATCACATGTAAGTACAGGTATAAGTTGACCGTACTAGCCAAGTTAAGTATGTGTTTATCTACTATCAAACAACATATCATAAATTTATATTTTTAACATAGCAAAATTCGGAAATAAATCAGGAAGACTTCTTGCAACGATTTTCTCTCGTCACCGTCGTAATATCATCCGGAAACTACATCGACCTCAACCAATGGGCTTATCTCAGTTGACTGATTTTTATCACTATAAGAGTAATAAGACCAAAAACGTTATTGTAATGATCAACCATATCAGCTGATCTAGTCATTGACCTCAACATGCCCTTGTACATTACTTGAACAAGACATTTCATATGATAATTTTAATAAAGCCAGAAAAACACAAAAAAAATTTGCTTTAACAAATAAAAGAGTTTAATTTTAGATTGACAGATTACGTCCAAAATTGAATATTATTACAATTAAGTTTATTTTGTTGTTAAAAACTGCAAAATTTACGCAGTAAGTAAAAAAATTCAACGATTTGTATAATTTGCTAGTATTAAGCCACACATAAGTCATGTGTATTCTAATCTTTCTTTCGAATCTGCATTGAAGAATTTAACACTGAAATAGATTTATTGACTTTAAGAATGCTAATCGCAACAATAATAAATACTTACTCAAATATAAAAAGAGTTTTTTCTTACTGTTGTTGCAAATAATTCTCTGAACCTCAACAGATGGAATCAATGATTACTTGTTGTCATAAGCGAATGATTAATGACAACAAGAACACAATTTTTTAAATTCAAGAATTACTTGTATGAACCTAATTTTTTATATACAAGATAGATTAAAAAAATTACGTAAAAATGCGTCGATATCCGTTTTCTTGTTTTCTAAAATTTCTTTTAGCGAATAGAAGGCTTTAAGAGCTGTTAAACTTATATTATGGTTAGTACATTAATTCAAACGATTACTTGATTTCAATAATTGTAATGATTACATCAATACGCTTTCATGACTGAAGAACTAGTAAACAATTGTAAGTATAAATAAATGCAACATAAAACTATTATTATTCGATATAAAAAATATTCATGAATATTCAAAACTCTATTTAATTATTTTTCGATAACTTTAATTAATTGATATGACAGTAGATATTTTCTGCTAGTAGAAATTTCACTAGCAGAAACTAGCAGCTCTCTCAGCTTTTTACGCTCGCAGCTTGTACTCTTTTCAGTTAGTTTTTTGGGTTAAGAAACGCTTCTCTAGCAGAAACTAGAAACTTTGCTAGCTAGTGATAGTTAGCAGTTAAGATACAAAGCTAATATATGCAAATAACTTTTTCATATTTTCATTTATATTTATATTTGAAGGTCATGGTTGCAGAAAGGAGTTTCGAAACAAGCAAAAAATTTATTCCAAATATGATTTTTTACGCGACTGGAAACAAAGAGATATTAATATTTTTACTTTCTTCGGAGATATGATCTGTGCAGATTTACTTACCTAAAATATTTGCGTTAATTTGTAAATAAACAATATTTAGATTATGTAATTTTTAGGCAGTGTACTCGAAATATTGTAGTTCCCTACCAGTCAAAAGAAATTTTTAATATACTTCTTTATCAGTTTTATGTTTTACGGTCGAATTTTCAATGATCAATATACAAAACAAAAAAAATTTGTTCCCAGAAAGTTTATTTAAAAAATACGTAATAATAGAATTCTTAGAGTTTTTTGCTCTGAGAAATGTCACGTTACAAAAACCAACCGTAGTGCGTACATCAAAAATATTGCTAATCTATAATTCTTGATAATTTTTTTCTTGACATACTCTTCGTTTTATAGCAAAATATAATATATGTATGAACTCTGTACTTTTTCTATTTTATAAAAGCTTACTGATGTTATACATAGGTGAATCATATATTATAGTTATGTGTTAAAAATTGTCATTAAAAATAGTAAAAAAAATTCCAAATTATTAATTAAATTTACCGTTTTCTTAACTGAATTTTATCTAGCTTTATTTCTTGGTTTGTATGTTAAGAGTAGCTTATGTCGATTACGAGAAGTAGTAGATTTGAAAATTTTGAAAAATAGTTAGCTCAAATGCAAACTAAAAATGTATTGGCAATGTCATATGCCCCAATGATAGGTGTCCTAATTGGACACTGTTCCATTGGCATTCACGCGGTGAGGCCAGCGAAAAGAGGTAGAAACATCTAGACGCTTTCTCCTCCACTGTCGAGCTTTCTCCAGACTAAGGTTGACGCATCTCGGTTGCCATACTTTTTACGAACACGGAGAATTGGTTAGAATTTATATTAGAAGCCTCAATACATTTATATCAGGCGTTTGGGGTTTTGTCGATATGCGATGGTGTTTTTTCATACCCAAGAGTTCTGGGCATCAAAACGGACAGACATCTCTAGCTATCCAAATCGGTCTAAATCACCAGAAGTCAGCTTATTTACGTAACCTAACAAAGCCTATCTAATCATTTTTTAATACACGCTTACTGTACCATTTAATTAGAACGTTATTGAACACTGTAGCTAATTTCTCACTTTAGTTGTTCATCAATATCATGACTAATTTTCGAGGAATTTTACAATTTTTATTCGGTACTCATCACAAAAATTTAATATTTATACTCTTATTGAAATTTTCAACCCACCCTTATGTTGATTAAAATTTTAAAATATTTTAATCAATGTATAATTGTCTAAAATAACAAATTTTATAAAATAACAAATACATAAAAAAGTGAAAAATATGGTGAACTTGTGGAGAAAATTCCGAAACTGGAGGAGACAGTAAAAATAAAATTAAGAGACCGTGGGAAGTGTTTCGAACATAAAAATCCGATACAATCTACTATTCTTAGAAATATACTTTTTGATAAAATTTAATTTTTGAAGCATTTTGCTCTTAACAGCCATAGATATTGTAGCCCAGCCCAACAACCAAATTTAAAATCATTTAAACTGCATTTTTGATAACTAACGCCAGCTCAGAAACGGAGTGTTTGTGGTAATGTTCCTTAATTTCATTTAGGACACCAACAAAATGGTTCCTTATATAAAGAAAAATAATTTATTGTTAGGTATTTAGAGACATTTTATTTTAAATTATATATAAGGATGTCATATTTTATTTAACTAAATATTTAGTATAGATTTGAGATAATATGTTTACTCAATTATATAAAGAAGGTAGGAAAATTTCCGTTTGTAAATATAATGTTATTAAAAGTTAAATTTGAGTACAGAACAAAAATATTTCTATATATGTTAGTTGAAAAAAAATATAATTATTTACAGATATAGCGGGGTTAATTAACCATATCGACTTTCTTTTTTATTTTCAATATCCCATTAATGTAAAAAAACGGAACTCATGGAAGTAGAATGTGAAATTGAAATCGCATTAACTCTACTAATATATTTTAATAACCGTAATTTTTGTAAAAACTAAATATGGTACAACGAAACTGTACATACGGGTATAATGTAGTTCATATATATATATATATATAGGTATATGTATTTATATGTTATCTATTTTTTTACCAAAATAACTAACGCTGAAACATATGAGATATACAAACAGTCTGTGTATATATATATATGTGTACCTTCTAATCGTAATGGGCGCCAGGAATTGTATAAAAAGCCAATAATTCTGAAATAAGTCTTTCGTGCGTGCTCTCAAAACTTTTTTTAAACAAAAAAAAATATGTATAGAGACAATTATGAAAATTTTTGAGCTATTTTTCAAATATAAAAATAAATATATTTAAAAACAGTTTTAGAAATATTTTTTTAATAATTTTCAAATGTTTTCTAAATTAAATATATGCAAATGTAACGTCATCATCCCAACTACCAAAAAGAAATGGTTTTCGTGAGTGATTTAGTTAAGTGTGAATTTATGGGACCAAATTTTGGTTTAGTTCAGTTTTAAAAATTACGTTTATGAAAATTTTATTTTTCAAAAATTACATTTTTCAAAAATTACAACTTTCGAAAAATTACATTTTTTTGGAAAATCACATTTTTTGAAAATTGTATTTCGATTATTTCGATTTATATTTTCTAAATTATATGAACAATATTTGTCTAATTTAATTCAACCAAACGTTCGTCTACGATCACCTATTCACCCCATTATTACAATTTTTATTAAATAAAACTCACCTTCTCTTTGAGGTACTGCATGTCTTCCGTCATTGATTTAGATTCCGGATGTCCTTCAGGATGTCCACCAACACCTATGGATATTGTGTCTGCAAATGATAAAAAATAAAACTTAAAAGTTTTCAGCTAGCAATGCACGTGTGACAAAGTAAACAAACAGTAATCAAGGTAACTCCCCGCGCTCATCTATCAACAGAGAGTGCTGCGAATCCATTCTGCTATCGGCTCGTGTAATCAACTATTAAACATTATACAAACGCATGCAATGCGCTGACAATTTGCACTGAGGTAATAAAATGCACGGTGTTAATTATTAAAACAACAAAATCGCAGAGTAATTGAGAATTTTTTGAAATTGCAACAATAAATTATTTGAATATGTAAACACCAATGTTTTATAATCATGACAAGCAACTATCTATAAACACTATCTATCTGTATATTACTATAAGCCCACTGAAGTGTCACTTACCGCCGCGTTTGCTGCGTATGTACTCGACCAAGTCTTTTGCATGCTGAAATTGTTGTTGCGGCGCCACTTGATCACCGCGCACCGCCAAAACGTTCGTGAAATTCAGTGTTAAAAAGTCGTCGAGTCGCCGGGAGTCGGCGCGATAGCAAGTGAAATGTGGCATCACCACCACATGTTCTTGTAGTTGGTGGCCCAAATTGATTGCATCCACGGCGCTGATATTCTCAATATTAGCATAGTCCTGACCCAACCACACGAGCGAGGTGAAGAGCGGCAGCAGCGCGCCAAAGCCATTATAGTCCAGCAGTGTTTGTTGCTTGCCATAAGAACGCGCCGTTAGCTCGATGCCGTAAAAGAACTCTTTGGCGGCGACTTTTTGCGCAAAAAGCTCAGCTAACTTGCGCTGTTCAGGCGCTTGTTGTTTGTTGGAGAAGCGCACATAGACCGGCTGAAATTCCGTTCTCGTCGCTGTTGGGAGTGGCAGGTGACCGCCACAAATGCTGGTAGTCGCATTGCAACTATTCGTCGCCGGCACATAGTCTGGATTGTGCATCGTCTTTTATTCTTTATATCTTGTTGCAAGATTTGAATTAAAACAAAAATTGTGTGAATTTGAGATTTCGCGTTAGCGGCACTTTTGTTGAACGTCCGTATCTGAAGGCGATAGCTATCTGATTGGCGAATCGTATTTCAGACAACTGAATGCGTCCACTGCGATGGAGTGATATTTTCGTGGACTTGGAGCGTCGCGTAAAAAGCTTTCGTGCGCTCGCAATTCGGTGGTGACTGAGCGGCATTAGGGTGGTCGTGTTCAAAAGCTGCTGTTTGCTGGAACAGTACACAAACACAGCTTCAGCGTCTCTGGCAAACGAAAATGTCTGCTTTTGATTAGAAACAACTCAACTTTGACATACAGTGTTGTTTGAGTAATTTTCAGAAATATTACTATTAAGAACCTATATCCTGTATACATATTGTGTAAGAGATCATGAAATCTTAAAACTTTATATTAAAAAATAAATCATAAATAAATATACGGTATAATTAATTATACCAATAAAGAGGTTTGCTTTCGAATATTAATATGAAAATATAGTGGTATTATTTCAACCAATAATAATAATGTTAAGTTAATTATTTAGTTTAATTTACTTCTATATTTATCAATTTGCAGTAACCGTTTAAGAAATCCAACAAAAAATATATATTTCAATAAGACGTTAAATAAAATAATTTAAAAAATAAGATAACGATTAAAAGAAAAGACGAAAATAATTACTTAAGGGTTTGTCTGGACCAATCTTTTACGTTTAATTGTAAAAAAAATACACGCGATACGATTCTGTTCTCGACGCGTTCTGGCATGCAACATTCCCGGAGCGACGTAGTCGACCTACCTGCTGGCAATAGATTTCAGCTTCAGGACTTTAAAACGAAAAAGGCTTTTTTATTTAATGTTTATATCCTCAGTTATGTCTACACATAAGCTTTTTTGAATATTTGAAAATTTGACAAAGTGACAGCAATATACAAAAACGTGTTTTTTTTAAAAAAAAAAGTCATTTCTAAGCATAGTGAGATTTCTTATGAATCAGTAATAAATTACTAATCTAGAGTTCGATGATTCAGTATTTAATGAAGCCTAAATTACAATAAATAAGTTCTGACATTACCCTTTCAAAGTCATTCTAAGGCTTAAATATATGGCTTATGCTTGCTGTGACCGTTAATTTTGAAATATCCCAGAAATAATAGAAATAGTACGTAGTGCTTAAAGCTTTTGCCTGGTACATCTATATTATAGCATGGCAGCAACAAGAGCTTTTTTTTATAAAGTAAGCAAATATTGAGTGCACTTTAGACATGAAACAGTTTCTTACAAATGCACCAACCATTTCTCTGAGAGTTAACCAAACCATCTTCTATGACCCACATTTTATCTATTGTATATTGTTCCGTTTTGAGCAAAAATGTCAATGATCAACATTTTATTAGGACCCATCGTTTTCTATGGTAATCTAACTAGTGCAGTTTTCATACAAATTAGAACTAATACATATCCAACCCTTATATTATATTTTTTGTTGGTTTACATTTAATTCGAGTTATAAGCGAGTATTCCTCTGGCATTGCATTACAAGTGATCAAAACTCTATTATGCATTTATTTTATTAAGAAATTTCATATAAAAACATGCATCAAATTCATCTAAGGTATAAAAAATTATTGCTACGGAGATCACTTATTTTACTCACTCTCTTTATCTCTTAAAAGCTCTGCTCCGCTTATCAATATCTATTCAATAAAATCTTCTTTGTGGTACTCACGTGTTGCCTGTCGCCGCTATGGAGATGTGTAGTGTATATGTATATGTACATCTATGCAAATTCTGGTGATTCCTCTAATAGAAAAGTAAGTTTATAGGAAATGCATGCTTATCTTTTATTTTTTTGGTTGCTAAGACAAGTTACTGATGCGTCGCGTAAGATTTGTTAATTAAGAAATGCTAGTCATATTTTTCCAAGCATCTTCAAATATAATCAAACTACAATATATAATATAATACATGCTTCAAAACATTCATATATCCGTAATAAAATTTAACATGTTACTAGAATAAACATTGATTGAAAATGGCGGGATTCTAGCATCTTCTCCAAAGTCTGAGCTTTTTTCTCCAGTTGAAGTTTTCATTAATGATTTTTAAGATTTGCGGTATTGTGGGGTTTTCATATGACAAATAAGTATTTAAACAGAAATAGTTGAACCCCACCATAAATCAAACTCTTAGATGGAAATTCAAGAAAACTGATTGCAGTAAAAACTACCGGTAATATTTTGCGTTTATCGGTTAAAGTAGCAGCGCTGTACAACAACTTATGTTGCTAATTTGTGCTGAAATCAAAAGATGATTTCTTTCTAATGTCTGTCAATCTTAAAAGCAAATGTGGAAAAGTGTAAACAAATCGGGATTGTAGTAAGAGTATATACATATATATATATACTTTTTAAGCCATAAACAAAGTAAGGACTTCTCAAGACTTAAAAAACTCACTTTTTTCGAACAAAGGCAAGGGCACTTTGGTGTAACCCGAACGTTACACGATCTAGAAATTGCTTTCAAGTTGCAATACACTCACACTTTTCTATTACGGCACTCTCACTTATCGCGCTTGAACGCCGACTTGATCGCCGATAATTTTTTTTAATCAAGTTAAATAACTCAACACATAGTTTTGCAAACAAAGTCCATGCAATTATCCGAATTTTCCAATTATGAATCTTCAGTTTTATCGATGAACTGTTATCCAAAAAAAGAAGCATATCAATCAATCTCTGCAGAAATGAAAATTTCTATGCTCATAGTGCAGAAAAACTAAAGTTGTTTTCATATGACGAAATGGCTTTTCTCATCTCTTTCTTTTCATTTCATGTTTCCGTTAAATTGCACAGATATATTTGCTTAATCATTCCTAAATCAATCACATTTAAATACTAGAGTTCATTTTGAGAAAATAACTTTGCATAGATGTTTCGCCCTCCCTTTCACTTTCACTGATAGATTCACTGATTTCTCGGAATTTGGCGGCATCAATATTTCTGAGGGCAAGTGTACTACTTTTTAAACACTCCAGGAGATTTTCATTGAGTATCTGAGTTATCTCCACGTTTGATTTTTATTAAACCTTAAAACCTTGCGCATAATTTGTGACTCAGAGTGAGGATCACGTGATGTTTGTATTCACGAAAAAGGGGCGCCGAACCCTAATCATGACTGGAATTTTAATACAAATAAGCCGATAGTTGATCAAAACATAATATGTGCAAATATCATAAAAACAAGAGCATATTCAACATTTTCATTAATTAATTTGTAATCTTAAATTCATCAAAATTTGCAGAAATATCTAGAGCAACAAAATAAGATATATTTTTGTAGAGCTTTTTTATTTATTTGAAGTTGCCTGACGCTCTGGTGCAGCGTAAGGCTCTGGTAAAATACTTTTTTGCAATGCTTAATAAAATTTAATTTTAGTTCTTCTAAAATAAAAGGTATGAAAATCTACATGAACAGTTCTTTATAAAAGCATTTTTTAATCTGTCAATTCTATTTTATCATTAATTTTTATTCATTTACACCATTAATTTTTTCAAGTATTTAGAATTGTTACTCGCTTTTTCTGTACTGCAACTACAGTTACAATTCAATATGGTCGGCTGCACTGCATTACCAACCGAAAATGTGAATCAGGAATAATATGTAGTAAAGCGCAACAGTTTGAGAGCTTATATGTAAACGGTCAAAATGAAGATATTTTGTTAAATAAAAAATTTTCCATGCAACTCCATGCACTTTATTCTGAACGTTCAGTTTCTATGACAGCTATTTGCTATAGTGATCCGATCCGAACAATTTCTTGCGAGATTGCATTAATTCCTTAAACAATAATCCATACCAAATTTCGTAAAGATATCTCGTCAAATGAAAAACATTCCCATACAAGCACTTGATTCCGATCGTTCAGTTTGTAAGGTAGCTATATGCCATAGTGACTCTATCTGAACAATTTCTTCGGAGATTGCGCCACTGCCTTCTGTAATAACTCCTGCTTAATTTCGTGAAGATATCTCGTCAAAAAAAAGCTTTCCACACAAGCACCTTTTTCCGATCGTTCAGTTTGTATTGCAGCTATATGCTATAGTGATCCGATATTGGCGGTTCGGACAAACGAGCAGCTTCTTGGGACCAAATTGATATCTCTAAAAGTAAGGAACTAGTTCGCGTATATACAAGCAGACGGACATGGCTAAATCGACATTTCCCCTGTTCAGGGGTGTTGTTCGTTTACATTCTCTGCCGAGGGAGTGAAATTTAGTTCGCATTTACTTGTATGTATTTACTTGCTTGCTTACAGATTTATATTATTTTATTGCCTGAATAAAGATGCCTTTGGTATGGTGTTAAATTCCATTTTATAAATCTTATAAATCTTTCTTATAATATTTGGATTTTGTGTTCTATTCTTGTGTTTTCCCCTATAGAAAAGGAGACACGTTAGTTCGTAACAATAAAATAAATTAATTTCTTAACTCGCATTTCAAATCTGTCAACGTCTATTTTCTTGCTTTGTTCTGCTAACAAAACTGATAAAATTGGTTTCCATGACACCCAAAACCAATAAAATTTCGGTTTCCAAAATCAAACCAATAATATCTAAATTAATGACACTTACTACATTTTTTATCGGTTTGAGTTCTGACCGCGATCTGATATTTCAGATTCTACAACACCCCTGCATATGTTTTTATTCAAGTATTGATTATTTTATTGCCTGTAAATAGCACCCAATTATAAATAAAGTCATAAAGGGATTTGAAAAGAAATGTATATATAGAAATAAAAAATTAAAAAAATATTTCCAAATTTTTAAAAAAATTAAAATTTGCAATTTTTCATACATCCGCAAGTATTTTGAAACACAACTCTAAAATTAATATTTGTTTTTATTTATTGCATTTGCATAACTTTTCTCTTAAAAATCGCTTAATTTGGTTAAACTTACTTACAAATAGACATATTATTTATTTATTTGATTTAATTATATTTTTCACTTTTTGTAATTATTTTGGCAAATGACATCTCTGTGCTAAGTAAATCTCACTGTTTCGCTATGTAAAAAACTATACATAAAGTTACTGCACGGTGGCAAAGAGCAAGCAAGTGAGCGTTTCTTACTTCGTTGCTTTAGAAATATTTTGAAATACATTTCGATTAATAATCGCTCACTATTGCTTACTTTTTCGTTACTATTGCGACTTTATTAAACGCAGCAGGCGAATGTAGAATGCTGGTTTATTACTGTAAATACATATGTATGTATGTTTTTAAGTAGGCAAATTAGTTGTACAAACCTGCTGCTACACAATTATTGAAAAAAATGTTTGTGTAATTGTAACTAGTGCGTTGTGCACACGCTCAGTTTAGTGTTATTACACTTATACATATTTATTTATGTATATATATATATATATACTATATCAATATTTAACATAATGATTATGATTATTTAATGGAAGATTCAATTTTCTATAAAGACAATACATGCAAACGTTTAATTAATCAAACACGCTTCACTAAGAACCTATACAACTGATCTACTGTTCGAATAGCAGGCGTGTCACAACATAATTTGTTGTTTTTGTTCAGATACATACATGCGTATATATATTTTATACATTTATATAATAGCTGTCGCATTGTATTTAGCACTAAATCACTCATTCATTAAATATAATGTGTTTGCTGGTGAATCGTTAACAATTAAAAATAGCAACAATATCCAAATGAAAATTTTAAAATTACCAAAATTATTTTAAGCATTAAAAATGTAATTATAAACTATAATTTGAGGAGCGCAATTTAGAAAATTTAAACTAACGCGCAAATTTTTAATAAGTGTTATGTATATATTTTGCAACTTAAATGTGAAACAACATTGCTTAAACTAAACTAAGCGCTTACAGAGCAGTCACTCGCTGCTAAAGGGTTTTTCGTTATGACTTTCCGCTAAACTTTATGCAACTCTGTCTGCTTGCAACCTACAAATATATCAGGCTGCGCTCACATAAATTTTATTTTTGATATACAAACGGTTTTATTCACTTTTTTATATAAACTTATTTTAAAAAAAATATTAACTTATTCGCTTCAATGTAATGTATGTTTAATTTTAGTTTTTTTTGTTTCTTTTTTTGTTTCGTTATTTTCTATTTTTTCTTAATGTTTTTATTACATTTTGTTACCATAAAGATTCTTTACATACATACATATATAAAATTATATTATTTAATTAGCTATATACTATCGCAGTCCATATTTGACGTCTGTCATTTCTTTTTGATGCGCTGAACGATCCACTCGAGCCCCTGATAAAGCCTTATAAAAAGAAAGAGATGAAATATTGATTATTATTTTTTATGGTTTTATGTATATATATATGTATATACATACATTATTTTTAAATATAGAACAATAAGTACGAATCTAGTAAGTCAAAAAATACATTATAAGCTAACGGTTTTTGAAGTGAAGACACAGTGGTAAAATCGGGGACTGCAGAAATACTGCCCTGCAAGCCCCCTAACGAATAAATCGCCGATTAATTGGCCAACAGCGCTACCAGAGAAAGTTTATATGAGTTTCTTAAAACCGACTTGTCAATTCTAACTGAAACTCTTGTGTATGTGTGATCGTTCATCCATTTCTTACGCAAAGGCCTTATGAATTCCACGGTATATGTGTTAGTTTCTGCGCAAATTCTTTTAATGTATTAGAGTTTCGGTAACCGTGACTTGCTGGGTGTGCTATCTTTTAATATTTTTAAGTAGAGTTGCCAACTACTTAAAAATAATTCCTCAGATAAATAAATGAATACTATATGGACGTTAAAGATGTCAGAGGAGACAATGGAAAATATTTGTAAAGCAGCGGATACAATTTATTTGTAGAAATTTGTAAGACAATATAAAAATACATTAATATTATTAATTAAACATCACAGTTTTAGAAGAATTGTAATGAAAATATTTTTTGAGTAGGATTGCCAATTTTGCTATATTTCAATTTATATTATGCCTACTTTTTCATAAAATACGCGCTTTAAATCAATCAATGTTTACCTTAAACGCAGGGAAGCTTCAGTAATGGATGCCAAATAATGCATTAAAAAATAATTGAATTAACTTTTAAGTGAACATTTTTTTATTTGGTTATCCCGAAATTTTAATTAAAATAAATATTAAAATTTTCAATCTCAAATACAGGGTTGAAAAATTTAAAATTACTTTTTATGACAAATGCCAGATGTAAAATGAATTTAATCTCAATATTATAATTAAAAATTAAAAAATTAATTGTTTTTGAATTTACATGTTTTTGCGCTTGCGTACTTCGTATACTACCATTTTGAACTAGAACTCGCACAGAACCATCATTTTCAATACCCTGGAGCAGTGGTCGGCAAACACATTCAAACTATTTATATTTTATATATTTTTAATAATTCTGATTTTGGGATTAAAAATTATATTTTAAATTTGTAATTTGTAAAAAATTGGATTTTAAGTTTTTAAGTTAAATTTTTTTTTAAAAAAAATTCGCAACCCGGCTTTTATATATTTTTAATTGCTAAGGCTAGTGGACAATTTTAATAAAAGGCTAGGAAATAGCCAAGAAAAAACCCACCGTTAAATACATTACTAGCGTATACTTAGTTTTCTGGACGCAATGTATTGTATAAATATATATAAATATTTTTGGTGCACTAATAAAATATCATAATAAGGCACTGTACATCATACCAGTCTCAGTGGGATAACAAAAGCAGCAATTCTAAAATCTAACAGGTCGGATTATGATTATGAAAGCGCATGAAAAGAAAGATTTATTTGTTCTTTTCTTAGCACAAATCTATTAACAAATACGCATATTTTATTATATTCGTCATGTGCGGTCATTATTAGTCGTTTTTGTTGTTGTAGCGGCAGATTTATTAGTACTAAAAGGATGATAGATACTCATATTTATTCCTATACACCGCTTAAAACCAAAACAAACCGAAAACGTCACGATTACGTAAATACGCAAAAAGCGTATAATTCGTGTAATACGTCAACACTTCTAAAAAGCTTAAGCAAACAATAAAAATCATAACAATAATAATTTTTGTTTATGTTCTTTATGTTATGTCATACCCCTCGCCAGTTAGCGCGCAACACGCCTGTATATGCCATTGATGTTTCTTAATCGAGGTTAAATCCAATTGACGTGAAATTTCCGCAGCTGACATAGCACCCTTGAGATCCTGCACAAAAGTGTATAAAAAGTAATTTAAATATAAATCATAAAAAAGCATATGTATATAAAGAAGTATGTATACAAACCTGTTTATTTGCATAAACTAATAGACTGGCTTTGCACAGGTCTTCATGCTGCAGCATGCGATACAGTTCCTCGCGCGTAACAGCCAAGCGTTCGCGATCCGTCGAATCGATGACCATAATAATAAACTGCCAAACAATAAAAGCGGATATGCCGATAAATTAGCTACTTTTTTGTGTTGAAATTTCATTTAGCTCATACCTCTGTGTTTGTATAGTAAGTGCTCCAGGCGGCGCGCAAACTCTGTTGTCCGCCCAAATCCCACACCAGGAAGTGTATATTCCGCCACACCACCTCCTCCACGTTGGAGCCGATTGTGGGGCTGGTGTGTACGACTTCATTCATAAGGAATTGATAGAGTATTGTGGTTTTGCCAGCATTATCTAAGCCAACCATTACTAATTTGTGCTCTGTGAACAAGAAGAAGAAAATTAAAATGAAAAAATTATTTTCAATAACAAACAGCAAATTGTTGCTAGGGAGCTTGATTATTATCAATATTACGTGCACAGCCTTTCATAAACACATTTTTCAACTACAATAATTATCATGTTTTGTTTTCGTCGAGATAAGGGAGTAATATTGTTGCTAATTGTGTAATGAATTTGTGTGGTGTGTGCTCGCTTCGAGAACGCCGTATTATCAATAATATATATAAGAGATATAAGATTTTACAAGTTTTTTTTTTGTGGAGAGTACTTACTATTATTTGCACAAGGATATAGTAAAAAATTTCTTACATTTATTTAGGCGACCTCGAAATATTACAAAATACCCAAAATATACTACTCAAGCTGTTATAAACATTGTAAATGGAGGCAGCACTTTCGGAGTATTTTTTAAACAATATCATAGGTATTAAAAATTATATTTCGATGATATATGCATATCGTAGAAACTCCACATATTCCAAATTGCCTTTTTTTATAAACGCAGATATTTATTTTCGTAATTTTTCAATCAGCCTCATAATTGAGTCAACTAGCAAATTGTCGTCACTAATGATATATCATTGTACAATTAAAGAATTTCAAAAATAAGTTCATTTTTTTAAATTGATTTGCTAAATGTTAAATAATTCATTCAAGAAAATTTATCAAAAAAAGTATTATTTTCATTTGACCACAAATAGAACAATTAACTAATTGTCCATTTAGCATTTAATTGGCAGTAAATTTATTTGAAGTTTTTATTATTAGCCCGTATTGAGAGGTGAAAAAGTAACTACGATGGCTTAAAAATACCACCACTATTGTCGCTAAGCGTTTCCAATGGAAACTTGACCACTTTTGCCAAAACAAATTTTCAGAGAAAAATATAAGGTTTTGATATAGTGGTTCGCTTAAAACTATCGAAAAAGATTTCTTGCGATTATTTTCAAGACATCAATGTCTTAAAGTTTTAGTATAGCGAAGAAGCGTCATCCTTTAGCATCATATAATATAATACTGGTGCAATGAATTTTCTAGCAGTAGTTCGCAGACGAATTTTGTGATTCTCGTTCAAAGATCAATTAACACAACCTCAAAGATGTTTTAAGCAGATAGGTTTGAGAGGATACTGAACAAATATGCCTTACTTACTTACGGTACTTGAAAAGTTGTATGTTATAACTGTACAGGGGACGAATAATAGGTTTAAGCATGCAAACTCGAGTCTAAGAAGAAGTGAACACACTGATGAACGTACGTAATTTGGAGCAACCTAATTGATAAGGAGTTAATGGAGCATTAACATTGGCACCTTATTATTTCACCCGCATGTATTTTGACCCAGAATAAGGATTCTAATAAAAGCGGTTGACGCATTCAAAATATCTGTTTACATCTGTCTCAATCGGTCTAGACAAACTGCCACGAAAATTGGTTTTAACAAATAGAAAAATATATTTGTTGTCATAGAGAATATTTTCAACATCAATAAAATATTTATAATCATTTATCTAAGAATAGGAAAGAAATGCAACAGGCAATATCTCTATGAATAATAAAGTAACCTCCAAAAAAAGTTAATAGTAAAGTTATCGAGTTTAATTTCTGGAAGAGAGTATGGGGATACCTCATTAAAATGGTATAGCCGCAATCTTTAGTGCTACCAAGTTTTGTTTTGCATATTTTCGATCAGTTTTATTATTGTGACGTTGGTTTGAGCATCTGGTATAGTTTGTTAGATTCGCTAGAGAGTAACGTTTATAACAATTGGTGATGAATAATATTCCTAATGTAGGATTCCATTTTGTAGTCCGAAATGTTACCACATCAGTTCTTCAGAGCAAAAAATAAAGTTTAAAGTTCTGAAAGACGTTTAGCAGTTGCCTTTTGATTGACAAGACTTCGACGTCCGGTAGAGGAAAACATCGACAAGAAACCTACTCTTCCCTTTGAGCGCGACATCGTTGAAAGCCTTCTAGAGCCCAGAAGCCTTTTTTACTAGATGATCTAATGTGTTTTAATCGAGCAAATCGTAAGCACTACAGCACAACTTAAATCTTCTCAAGAAGAGCGTAGTAGTGCAGTCACAATGCTACTAAGTGAAAAGCTATTGGTTTCAACCAAATAACTGTAATCTCTGAATAAAATACTCCTTAACCTCAAAATGGAAATTGGAAAAAAACTATAGTATATAATGTAAAGTAAGTAAAAACTAAGTATTGTCAAAAAGATGCACAAATAAGTTGAAGTACTTCGGATCCACAATACCACAGTTCGCCACAGTAGCGATAAAACATTCATTTAAGTGCACTCCCTTGAGATTCTAATGGACAAATATGTAGTTCATCACAGTTCATACATACAAAAACACATTCATTTAAATGTAACACAAAAGCCAACAACCATGTGGGTAAAAGTGCGTTTTATTAAAACGGCACAAATGGGAATTGAAGTGTAGCGACATTGTAATAGGCAAATTGACAAAGAGAGAATGTGTCACTCATCAACGCCATGCGAAGACGTATGCAGCCAAAAAGTTTGTCAACTAGCACGTATGCATAGTTTCTGTTCAAAAAGTAACCAGATATCTGCAATGAAGCGAAAAGAGTGCAATTCTTCATTCGGCATAACGGGAATGTGAATAATTTGTGTGTTTAGAATGAGAAAATAAAAAATTGTAAACGCGTTTTTCTCTAAAGTCCATTTTTCAAAAAGAACGAGGATGGTACTCGGAGACATTCTCACGTATGCACTTATAATATAGGGTATGACTGTAGTTTCACACTAACTTTATCTAACAAATCGTACATATATTTAGAAACAATTTACCACTCATTTTTGCAGTTCAAATTTAACCTTCTTTGTCATTTTGCGAAAAATTTATTTAAAGCTAAAAATATAAGTATCTTACTAAGCAAATTTATGTAGATTAAGAGCCCGTCTTTTATTTTGTTTCAGATAGAAGGGCAATCACTAGAATCAGTATCGACGTCGAGACTCCTTTTGAAAAGGTTGATTCCGAAGATTGTTGCATTAGCTGTCGTTTTGTATCAAAATGTCAATTTAATGAGATAAACTTGATTATTTTCTCTTACTCCCAGAATAAATTGTTAAAATTACGCTTTTCTTGGCGGTTCGAGATAGGTCTAACCAATTAAGTTATAACAAGGGTAAGTAATAAACGAAGTGGGGTAAAGCGAAGTAAACAAAATTCCGGGAACTTATTGCACAGAGGCTACGCGCATACTAATGTGAATTTCAAAAGGTTGCATGGCGCTCACAATTGGCGCTTTGAATGAATTAACCTACGCACCAAGCACTATCAAGAGTAGCAGTAATCGTCGGTGCTGTCGGTTTTAACAATAAGCCTTACAGCAATTAAAGCTTGTGTTGCTACACATTTTTGTGGTTTCAACAGCTGCCTATTTATATTCAAGTGTAGCAATATAATTGTGCCACAATGTGATCATCTATGTATATGTATGTACATATGTATATATTCTATGTACGGGAGTGTGTAGGCGTGCCAGCTATTGTTGAGCGTGCTTGTATGCAACACAACGTTTGGTTTGGTGATTTGGTGGTTCATGGGTTAATGAATTCTTCTGCTATTATTTTTGTATTAAAAGTCGGTAGGCATTGTCAATTATTTCAATTATTTTAAACAAAATAAATATGAAAATTACTATGATAGCATGTCAGTCGTTTACGATTAACTAAATGCAATACAGAAGAGTGCGTAGATACATCACAAAAGTTGTGTAACCCTCTTCTACATTTCATATCAATTTGATAATGCCAATTTTTGTGAGTTATACCAGTTGTTCGTTCGATAAGCCATTTTGTATGTTTTGGTGAATCGAATGCAACATTGTAATGAAAACAGTTCACTGTAAGTTTGACTATTACCACAACTTATTGCATATACCATGTGTAGTGTGTGATGGCACGATCCATTGGGACATATTATGCGTTTAACATAAAATTAATATATAAATATGGTATACAGTCACAATAACATTATTTATATACATAAGTATATGTCATCTGCACATACATATATTTACATAGACATATTAGCTCACAAAATGTATTACTAATTTTGTAACTACTAAACTCAAATGGCAAAACAACACAAGTACATACTTACGTATATATCTGTATATCGAACATGTAAACGCAACTATGAAAAAAGTATGCAACCGTTGTTACTGTCAATGAACCGCATGAAGAAAAGCAATTATTCAACAAAAATGAGAAACAAATGAAAAAATGTCAATAACTGTAGTGAGTTAGTTAAAGTGAGTAGTTTGTGTTCAAAATCAATGCCATTGTCATATATGTATGTATCTATGTAGGTAAGGTGACCGAACATTACATGATCGTACAACTATCTGGCCTTGGATATTAATCATCTTTATTGCAGGAAAATTTAGCCGACTTTGATTTAAGTTTTTTTGAATTGTACAGTTAGGAGAAAGTATAGACGATATATGGAGTCTGGGCGTAAATATGTAACGATTTCTTCCAAATTATAAAAAAATACTAAGCGAGCAATATTTACGAGATTAAGTTTAGCAAAGGAATATACATAAATTAATATATTTTATAGATAGAGATTAGAGGACGATGTGTGTCGATTGCACCTGATTTTTGGAAAACAAAATTAAGTATACATATGTACATACAATACCAACAACAACAACCACAAGCACCACCAACGCAATAAATTCAATCCTACAAATACTCGTACATAGCGAACACACAAGCAAACGGGTAAGACAACATAATAGTAGCGAACTCACAACCGAAGATGAAAACAGCGAACATATGTACAAACAAACAACAACAGACAACGCACCTAACGCATAGGAATTTCACATAAAATATAACTTCGCAGACGATTGATTTGATAATAATATGCAAATCGGACATGCATATTTTTTTATATGGACAATAAACAACCGATGCGATTCATA